ACCCAGTTATGCTGTTTGGACTTGGGGAAAATAAAAAATGGAAGCTGAGAAGAAATATTTCTTATGTTCAGGAAGCAAAATGAAGTCCAGTTGCGCTGCTGAGTGTCATTATATCACATGGAAAGAAAGGTTTGTTCCTTCAAGAAAAGAATTGATCTGTAAAAAAAAACTCTCCTCTTCATTATCATCTGCTAAAATTACCCCTGCCTCAAACTCCATCTCCATCAATGGAATTCATCATTGCCAGAGTTCATCCACTGGCTCAAGGGAGCAGCTGTCCAAACTCAGTCAATTGCCCTTAATAGGTCTGACTGATGGGTCATTCTGTTCCTGAACCCAACTTGTTTTGGGTTGAGCATTGAACATTCAGCTGCAATCTTGCTTTAACATTTGTTTTAGCCTAAACCACTCCTTTGGTGTACAGAACTTAATTATATTCATCAGGAAGCAAATGTAGCAAAAATTTTCTTATATTCAGCAAGCAAAATGAGTCCAGTTGCCCTGCTGGGTGTCATTATATCATATAGAAAGGGATGTTTCTACATGAACGGAATTGAACTATAAGAAATCTCCTCCTCATTGTCATTTGCTAAGATTAGCCTTCAAACTCCACCTCCATCAGTAGCCATACTAATTAGGTTCAGGACTGGAGAATAACATTGGAATCCATCCAGCTGGTGACAAAGTTTGCAAATACCATACTCTGCTGATTAAAAAATCTATTCAATTGCCTCCTAAGTTTGCAAACGCTGTCTGCCTCCACTGTCTTGCCGTGCAAACTTTCCATATATTCAGCAGCTTCTGTATCACATAGTTTAATCTAAACTGACACTTTGTCTTCCCTAACCATTAGCTGCTGCTGTCCTCGGCCAAGTTTACTGGGTTATCGTGTTGGCATCATAAAGCATTGACTATTTTCAGTGAGCCCTGAATGAGAGCATGAGTCAGCCTCCATTCTGTAAATTCCATTAAGCATCTTCTGCACAGAAATTGTTCCAAATAAAGCTCATGTTAAGTAAAGGATTGGTTTGGAAGCTAACCTCAGTGTGGGTAAAGTGCAGAATTCAGGCTTGGTACTGTATTGATTTTGGCAGTTTCCAGCCATTTCTGATCCAGTTAAAATCAAGTTGAAATTTTGCATGCAGCTTCCCCACAGAAGCAATGGGAATAGTGGAGCAGTGTGCACTGTAGGTGTCTGCATTGGTGTGCTCACATGGGACAAGAGGTGGAAGGTGAAGGACAGGGTCAGGCACAACTGAGAAGGAAATGAAAAGCCTGAAGAAAAATCTTTTCTTACATTAAAGAGAGATCATTTTTAATTACAAAGAGAAAGTATGAATAACTGGAGCTCTGACACAGGGCACTGGTCTGATCTGTTTTTTTAGATAGCGATAATATGAATAATCCTTGCATTTGATATTCTGCTTTCATGTTAGGAGGATGTCTTGATGTGCTTTGCAGAATTTACTGTAAAGTGTCGGGACTGTGTATTTTGTAGGCAAATATGGCACAGCAATGTCACACAAGCAACAGTTGAAGTGTGTGATTAACTTTATCTGGGGATTGTTGGCTAGGAAATGTGGAGGAACAAACACTCCACTTTTCTAGCCATGGGATCTTTAACGTCCACTTGAAAGGGCAGGCAGGTCCTTGGTTTAATTTGTCTGGAGGACAGCACCTTTGACAATGGACTTATTCTCTCATATCGGAGTGCCAACTTTGGCTGTGAGTTCCCCACAAGCATTATTCAGACCCTAGAGTGCTACCAGGCTGACACCTAGGCTTTTGCACATAAGGTCTGACATATTCCTTTATTTCTGAACCATGTAACTCAACATGTATAAATAGCAAACCCAGTGAGTAACTGTTCTAAAATTGGTAAAGACTTCAGTTAAATGGGACGAAGGGAGAGATCGCGTTTCACACACTTAAGCGATTGGAATTGAATAGATGTTGGAAGCTCGTAAACACCTTGGCAACTTATCATCTGCGGCATGTTGACCCAACTATGACCTTGCTCAGCATTGTGTGTGCACATGGGGGAAAGGGGGTATCCTACCTAGCTTGTAATTAAAATTGGTATCCAATCCCGGAGAGACAGATGTTCACAGGGGTGGGCTTTGTATGGTACTTTGATTTAGGGCGTGATAGCCTGTATGTCGAAGTGATAGAAGAATTCTATTCATGTTACGTTAGCAACATTGATTCGGTGTAGCACTCACTGTGAAAGTAAGCTGCTAATGAATGGCAACATTGAAGTAGCAATACAGTCCTGTGTCATTTCCTAATTGCAAACCATCCATTTTAATTAGAGGACCAATGGCATACATTGCCTTGCAAGTCAGAAATTAACATCTGAAATTGATGACCAGCTGAGGAGAATCTGCTAATGAAATCCATTAACAAGGAAGAACGTGATGTGCTGGGGGGTGCGCTGGATTGTTGCGCTGCTGTCCTTTGGATGAGATGTTGAATCCAATCCCGTTCTACCTCTTCAGGTGGACGTTAACTATACCGTTGCTCTACTCAAAGAGAGTCGCTCCTGCTGTTCTGGCCAACAATCCCCCAGATAAAGTTTGTTCACTTAATGGCTGTTTGTAGAACATTGCTATGCTCATATCAGCTGCCATGTCACCTGCAAAAAACACTCTCTTCACTTTACAGTAATTCCCATGAAGTGCTTTGGGATGTCTTGTTGACATGATAAGGTGCTATATCATGTATAGAGTACAAACCAAATATAAATGCAAGGATTATTAGTATTATTAAAATGTGTCTCATCTTTAGTGAATCAAATGCTTTTAGAATCACAGTAACATGTGCATCTCCTTTGTGGTATGCACCACACAGGTACCTTGTGACCCCAAAGGTCACGCTGCAAGAAAAATCGGTACAGTCTTGCAATGAGAAACATCTGGAACTACTAAAGATCAGCTGATCTATAAAGGGTCAAGCTACAGGAAACCCCATCAGTGTCCTTAGAAAATTCCCTCAGAGATCATAATATTCTTCTTCTTAAGTCTGTTTCAGTCCCCAGATCCAAATGTGGTTTGAAACAGTGTCGCCTAAACCAGCAGTTTACGACTTCAGATTCCTAGTCATTCAGAATTTCCATTAAATAACATTTTAGTTAGAAAATCTAGTCAGCAAAAAACTTATGTGAGCTAGTTATTGAACAGCGAACCATAAAATCTCTGTCATTCTTTGTGTGAACAACAAGCACACTGAGGATTGATTTAAAGGTCTCAAAACCACATATTAATCTCCTATGTGCCAAATAGGATGTGCTTTCTCAAAGTCCCAAATTTGTCTCCTGTGGGTCAAAACTGCAGGTATGTGGTAAATGGGTTGTAGTATCTTAAAGCTTTGCAATTGCACCTGTGCTTTACACTATGTGGTGAATGGACTGTGCTTTCAGAAAATCTCATATTAGTGTGGAATGCTCAGTCCTATACAGTGAGGGCTGCTAATAGGAAGTTTCCTATACTGTATAACAATGTGGTAAATGGGCTGTGCTATCTCAAAGCCTATTCATCTTCCCTATACATTAAAAAGGATATGCTTTCTCAAAGCCTTATATTAGGTTCTGCTTCTACGGGAACATTGGAACAAGAGAAGACCATTCAGCCTATCAAACCTCTTTATTAGATACAAAGCTTGAAATGGGTAGCATTTCCTCCCTGTAAGAATCGTGAGGCTAAATAATAGAAATATTTTTCTTTCCTCAAATAATAATATGACAACAAAATTATATTTGTAAAGCGCCTTTCATATTGGGAGGACGTCCCAAGGTGCTTTAAGCAGCAATAGCAGTGACGGTAGTTTCATAAATGTAACTGCTTGGCATAGTTCCATACCACAAGCACACCTCACCAATGCAAAAGCTTACTTCAGTTGTTTCAGTTTGTTTCCCTGGCTGAGATGATGTGCCACCATCACTTACATCCTGTCCCCCCACTCCCCTCTCCTCAACCACCACCTGGATGAACTGACAGAACGAGCTTATGGCATTGGCAGAGGGATTCAAGTGACCAACTGTGATAACACAACACAATGTTTTGGTGACAAAACAAAGCTTTGTTACTCGCCTGATTCTGACCAGCATTTCTTTTGATGTGCGGACATGGAATAATTTGTTCATTTTGCCCTCCTGGAGGTGAAAAAAAATTGACATTTCAAAAACAATCTCCATGTAGTGCATACATAGGGAAAATGAGAAGACAATATTCTGAACCTCTTTTCCCCCTGAGATTCCCAAAGGCAATCCTGATAAGAATCTATTTTTTAGAATTATACAGCCTAGAGATACAAAAGTAAAAGTGGCAGTAATCCAACAGATTCAGAGCAATCCTTTCCTGGCCCTAATGCCCCTCGGGCATTGATCACCTGATTGATCAAAAGTTCCATTGTATTGCATTTATTTGCCTATTCAGCTCTAACATTGATATGTTAGATAACTATTGATAACTATTTAACTATGTTATCTTTCTTTCAACTAATGCATAGTAGCCAGTTATTCAAATGTCAAACAAAATTTCCAGGCAGGAATTTTGCTTCTCTCTTTTGTAGAATCATAATTGACAGCACAAAAGGAGATCATTCAGCCAACCAGGCCAATTCTGGTACTGGGAATGATCCACTGAATCCCAAATTCCCCACATCCTTTTAGGTTAGGTTCACTTATACAATAATTCCTAACATGATTCTTCAGTAAGGAGTCCTTCCTTTAACTTGATAACTTATTCCACATATTCTCCCCTACCTGTATCTTGTTCAGCCGACTCGATGACATGTAGGGTGCTATGTCGAATACACGGATTATTATACCTTCAAACACAATAATTAGTTGACTCTCACCGTGTATTTCTTTTGAAATTATAAATTTTTCTTATTTATAAAAAAAACTTTTATAAGCATAAGGATTCTGCTTGGATCTAGCTGGGGTTCGTGAGAACTCCCCATCTTATCACGAGGTGACGTGATGTTCATGCATTTTACAGAATTCAGGCAAAACATCGAGAAATTCGGGAACGACAGGCCCGGGATCGAGATTACGCAGATCCACAGGATTTGAATAGAACATACGGATCTGATGATGACCCAACCTATGCTGGCATGAGTTGGTACGAATCATCAAGAGATGGCAGCAGCAACATGGCATTAAACTCTAGACCACAGAGCGCAAGAGAGGAAACACAGCCTGTGGAAGCAGTTTATGCTCAAGTGAATAAACCAAAGAATGGAAAAGTCGTGACTGCAGAAAGGTAAAGATAGATGTATTCTTATGCGTCTACCCTACCCACAACATGTTCTTGTTGCTCCACACAGACGGAAGATTCATTCTGAATTTAAAGGTAGCACCAAGTCAGATTTCTTGCAAGAGAATCTGAATTCATTACGAATATCAGTTATGAGTTTGTTTTTAAAAAATTACTTCAAATGCTATTTTCTTTAAAGAGTACATAGGAAAATAGGTAAAGTAGGAGGCCATTCAGTCCATCAAGCCTGTTCCACCATTTAATTTATCTTGTCAGATCTTCTAATCCTAATTGGAGGTTAGGAGAGGTGGAGGCTCATATGGAGTGTAAACAGGAACATGGACTAGTTGGGCCTCTAATGTCCTGTTTCTGTGCTGTTGCGTTCTATGTAATTGAATGCGCTGCCCTTTCGCCATGCCCCTGAAAACTTCTAAATAACTTCTCACTTTTAAACATCCCTATTGATTCTGCTTCTACTGCTTTCCGAGGCAGAACATTACACATCTTCACAACTCTGTGTGAAGAAATGCTTCCTGACCTCAGTTCTAACTGTCTTGGGTTCTGATTTTAATCCTATGCCCCTCAGTAATGGATGCCTCTACCAAAAGGAAGAGTCGTCCTCTATCTAACCTGTCGATTCCTTTCATTATTTCAAATACCTACATCAAAGGATCAGAAAGTTCAACATTAATGGAAATTGGTAACCGATACCTTTTAGTAACCTTTGACTGGCTCAGTGTATCAATTTATGGTGCTAATTGGGAGACTTGTCCATTGTGTTATCCTGTGATTGTGTAATCTTATAAAGTTATGCCTGTAAGACTGAGATGTAGGGAGTTTTGTACTGAGGAGTACTTGCTTTGCTTGAAGATGACCTTCATTGATCTAAGTACACCATATGTACTTGATGGTAACAGCAACATTAGTTCTGTAATGCTGTGTGCTATCAATGCCAAATATAGAATTTCAGATCCCACGTTTTTTATACCTGGAGTTTTCAAAAACTTTGAAATGCAGAGATGCTCTGAACTTAGAAAATAAATCACTGGCAGATAGGGTAGTCCAAGCTGCTAAAATTCTGTGCAGCTACCACATCAAAATGTTTTTTAAATCACTTGTCACAACCTTCAGCTTGTGTAATGTTAGGCAGTATCTCATGTCATTGCTGCACAGGCAGCTTGGGGATGTCTCACTCCAATCCACTTGTCCTCAGGTATACAGTCTCAATCATTTTCAGCTTGTCAGGATTAGAGTATGGTACCAAGGTATTGATTGTACTTTCCGGAGGGTGGGGGGGGAAAGAAGGAAGAGAAACGCAGATAAAATCAGTTTGGTCTCTCACAAAATAATGAGATGTTGTCACAAAATCTGTTGATGAAGATGTATCTGGAGGGCCTTCATTTGTGCTTTCGCTTGAATTCCATCATTTGGCAGTATTAATTCTGCTCAAGTGCTTGTTGTGGCTGTTATGGTAGTTGTTTAGCTGTCTTGACTTTGTTTTGTCATTTACTGAGAATTGCTTTGCCTTTTGCACTTAAAATCCCACTTTAGGATCCTTCAATGGGCCAGTGAGTGAAGGCAATGGCACTCAGCTTTGAGGACCACACGATAACAGGTTTGAAACCTGTTCCTGCGTTGGGTTTCATAATGCCTCACCCCCCTCTTTTTTATAATAATTGGAACTACATTCCTCTCATCAAGGAGGGGAAAATCAGCCAACTACTGATCGCTATTCAGAGATGTTTAGATGTTGAATAAGGATCTGACTCGGCTGAGATTATCTTGGATCACAGATCCCATGAGTCAGTGTGTGACATATTTCCAGTTAAAGGAAGGAGTCCCCATTTATGTGCCTTGGATTTCTTATAAGGAAGTCCTGTTAAGAAACACAATAACAGCTTTCCCTTGTATAGTACCCTTCATATAGAATAATGTCTCAATGTTTTTTTACAAGGAATTATCACAATATAGACCCCACAGTGTCATTCAAATCCTAAAATTTAGGAAATTCACTCGTTACCATTTGTCCCACACATTGCCTGTTTATTATTTATTAATCCCATAAATGTTTTTGAACGGTGGGAAGAAATCCATATGTGAATGACAGCAACTCTCATGCCGTTTAGTGATCCTTGTGATCTCTGCAAATGCAGGTTATTGATCTCACAATTGCTGTAAGTAAATGTACCTTATCGATAATGTGACTGATAGAAAATTACAAAGGTGTTTTCTGCCAGTTGAGCTTCAGTGTTACTCAATAAAAGAGAAGTCAAGTGTATTTATTAGGACAGTGCTGAGCAGGCACTCGGTGCTTCTGCTGCTTTGATTCCACAGTTTCTGTATTTATTTTACATAAATTATTGTTGCTGTAGTCATAGATGCTTCTATTTCTCAAGCCATTCGGTTTAACACAGCAGCATTCTGTAAAATAAATAGTCCCTTGTTTGGTAGTACAAATTTGTGTTATTTTATAGTGATTTGTTTTTTTGGTCAGCTGGGTGTTTGATGCACATGGAAACCTATAACCATGCTTAAATATTAAATCTTTGCCTGTTCATTAAAGATCCATTGCACTGTTTGAAAAGAGATGGGAGTTTCTCCTGGAGTCCTGGCCAAAAATCCCCAAATAAAATTGGTAATTCACTTCATGGGCTGAGAGTTACGCATATCTATGCCACTTATACATCAGTTAAAACACATCAATTAAAACCATTCAGCTTGCCATTGAGAGCTAGGATGTTTCCCACTGTATGACCAGCTAGAATCTCCTTCGTCTGATGAAAGATCATCGACCTGAAACATTAACTCCCTTTCCTCTCTCCATAGATGCTGCCTGACCTACTGAGTATTCCCAGCGACTTCTGTTTTTGCTTCCCCTTAGAGGTTTGGCTTGCCGGATTAACAGGAACTGAGTGATTCCTCTCCACTTCCTATTTTGTAGTGAGGAATGAGTACATTTATATCACAGGGACATTTGTTAATGAAATTGGAAATGCTATGCTATTTAGTTTTACGTTAGTCTGGCTTGGATACTCTTAAGCATTGCAATGGATTTTCCGCATGTGTCAGACACCCGGCTGACCAAAAAAAAGTGTTTATAGAATCTAGCTGTGAGTAAAAGGTTCTCCCGTCAGGTTGGAGAATGCTGACCGCCTTCTGTTTTTTGAAAGAAGAAAAATAGCTTGAGAGGCTTTTGTTTGTGAGTTAAAGAGGAAGAATACACAGGAGATGGCATTGAGGAAATCCGCTTCCTACCAGGGTCATGAGACAGGATATAGATGTGGGTCCACCCAGGAACACAGTCAGCTGGAATTATCACTTGTATCAGAGTTCTGGTAAACACAAACGTTTTACTGTTTTCTTTTCTGTTCTCTCATATTTATAAAGTGAGGAACCAGGGCTTCACATTGTTTCAAAGGGGAATTGTTAGTTTGACTCAGATAGTAGCACACTCGCCTCTGAGTCAGAAGGTTGTAGGCTCAAACCGCATATCAGAACTTCAGAAATATAAACCAAGTTGCTAGGAACACTCAGCAGGTCAGGCAGCATCTATGGAGAGAGGAAAGTGAGTTAACGTTTCAAGTCGATGACCTTTCATAATAATAATAATCCTTGCATTTGATATAGCGCTTTTCACGTCTTCTCAACATCTCAAAGCGCTTCACAAAATAGACTGTAAAGTGAATTGACTGTATATTTGTGGGTGATGCTGCCTGGCCTGCTGAGTGTTCCCAGCAACTTCTGTTTTTGTTTCAGATTTCTAGCAGCTGCAGTATTTTGCCTTTTGAAATCAGTCTGGGCTGACACTCCAGTGCAATGCTGGGGAAGTGTTGCAATGTTGGAGGTTCTGTCAGATATTGAACCAAGTTTGCCTGTTCAATGGACATTAAAGATCCCATTGCACTATTTGAAAAGAGAAGGGGATTTATTTTCGAATCCCTTTTCAATTCAATTATTTTTAAATCCTTTTTCAATTCAAACAGTCCAAATCCCTGACTGTCCAGTGCCTTGGGTTGTCCTCCTGATGTGAACGGCACTATACAAATGTAATTTTGTATTGGTGTTTTCTCCTGGAGTCCTGGCCAACAATCCCCAAATTCAATTGGTCATTCGTTTCATTGCTGTGCACAAATTGGCGACCACATATGCCTACGAATACATAGAATCTACACGGTAAAATTCTGTGAATGCTTTGAGATGTCTTTCTGACCTGAAAGGTGGGGTACCAAATGCAAGGATTATAATTATTATGTCTAGAAGAGAATACTCAAAATACTGTAATCCCATTGGATATATAGAGAAACAATCTAAATTATTTCTTATTCTTTTGCACAGAGTCCTTGTGTTAACCCCATCCCTGGGACCAGCCTACTCCTGCATGAGGTTATTCCAGCTGTGTGTGTTGTAGACCAAAGCTGGTGTGACTTCATTGAGTAATAGTAATAATATTTACATTTGGCATAGTGCCCTTCATGTCAGGAGGACATCTCAAAGAGTTTCACAGGATATTCTGTAAAGTGGAATAGCTGCATTTTGTGGGCAAACGTATAGAGGGGGAAAGGAATTTTGAAGTAGGCTAAGAGCCACTCGATCCAGGATAGTTCAGTACAGGGCGAGTATACGTGTCCTGATCGAACCACCACCACTAAACTGAGCGGAGCCAAATCAGTTACTGCTCTTAATGCACATCAGTGGAGGAGCCTAGTGCGAGAGGAAGCATACAGGTCCGAGATGCAGTGTTATTATAGTGAGGACAGCATCTCCGACAATGGAGCAGGTAAAAGCTGCCACTTAACTGGACAGACATTTTCAATCAAGAAAGCTCTTCAAATGTTTGAACATTTAAAGAAAGTTATCACCAAGCAACGTAAGTAATACCCTGCCCCACCCCCCCTCCCCCACCACCCCCCTTTCTCTCATAAGAAGCTGACAAGAAAATTGTCTTTCGCACAGGAAAACAGGTGGTTAGAATTTGCACACTTTCACCACCAGTATACATTGACTCA